AGTTATTTACTAAGCTTTTTAATAAAAAGAAATGACAATGATCAGGAATTACCCCAGTGATCAATAATTACCCCATCTGTAGGGGGCAACATTTGATATAGTTTCCTATAATCAATTATAATGTTTATTGTAGATGTGAAACAATTAAACAAGAGCTTACACTATTTTCATATCAAAGAAAAAGAAAGTAATTCAAAATATTTATTATTAAGAGAAGGAGGGAGATCTTCGCAGAAATGTGCACTTTTTGAAACCCATCTTTGAAATGGAAAATACAGAAAGCAGTTTAAAGATACTTATTTTGTTAGATTAAACAAGAGACTATTATTAAGTAAATATAGTTATACCTTAGTAAAATGTACAAGCATTCTTGTCCATGTCTCAAATTTAGAAAAAAATTATTTTTTAAAAATAAAACTTAGGTGATCATTATTTACCCCAGAAACAGAGTGATCGTGAATTACCCCGGGTTACCCTACCTTCTTGCTGCATATTAAAATTCAGAAAACTAATATAAGCATAAGAAAGGAAAAAAGGTAATTAACTTGGATGTTTTCATCAATTGCATTAGATTTTGGTTTCTGACCTGTGTGTTCTGATTTATAGAAAAATAGAATAATGACAGTGATAGAATAATGATAGTTACAGAATAATGATTTATAGAGAAAAAAAATGTTGCATGAAGAAATTACGCAACGAGGTAAGTACCAGCAATTGCGAAGTGATTTCATGTAACCGTTATTATGTACGAAAATAAAAATAAAGAAGTAAAATATGCAGTATTTTTTCTAATTCTAATAGATTTTTATTTGAAAATTGCACTTGGATTTTCTAATCCTGTTCAAATTAAAAATGCTTAAAAAGTGTGTAAATTTAAGGATACTATTTCATGAAATGGGTTGACAAAATAATAAGAGTGAGCAAATTTGGAATAACAGAGGAAACTTTTCATCGCAACTATCAGTATGGGGAACTCTGGGACTTATATTATTGAAAGGGTAAAACGGGCAACGGTACTCACATCCCTTTATTAACCAGATTTTATATTACATTCGGCAATCAAAAACCAATCCAATTCAAAAATAATCAAATTACTAAAGATAAACAATTATTAATGATGACTCATTATTATGTTTGGTGTTAGCCCCCTTTAACAGAAGAGTACAAATTATGCTCATAAGAAACTAATAATTACCTTTAACTTCTAACATTTGACGCTGTTCTTCACGCCAAATTTTTATTTTTTGTGGTTCTTCTCTATTTACTGAACGAGCGGGCGTTGAAGCAGGAAAAGGTTCATTGTTACCATTTATATGCTAAAACAGAACAAAGTTCATAAGATAAAAAAATCCATCAAGCTTTCAATGGATCATAACTATTACAACCAAATAAAAAGTACACGGATAAGTCTGGTCACTAATTTGTTGTACCACCAAAAAGGCTCATTCAGTTAACTAACAGCTAGTCGAACTTAATGTTGCAGCAGAAATTAACAATAAAGCAGAATTTCTATTTTGTAGTAGCAATATAATTTCTAATTTAAAAAACAAGTCACATGGTTCGAGAGTCCTGAAAGAATATCTTGTAATTATTTTGAATTAATCTTTCCAAAATCAACTCTAAATGTATATATTATAACATTTCTTAAATTAAAAATATTGCTGGTTATTCTATGTTCAATGATAATACTAAAACAACTAACATTAAAATGCATAAATATAAAAAATGTAGATCTGAGATGATACATGAAGTGGCTGTCTAAAGTTGAATATAATAAGTTACATAATATGTATAAGTTACATAATATGTATAAGTTACATAATATGTATAAGTTACATAGTATGTATAAGTTACATAGTATGTATAAGTTACATAGTATGCATAAGTTACATAGTATGTATAAGTTACATAGTATGTATAAGTTACATAGTATGTATAAGTTACATAGTATGTAAAAGTTACATAGTATGTAAAAGTTACATAGTATGTATAAGTTACATAATATTAATAAGTTACGTAATATTTATAAGTTACATAATATTAATACAGAGCCTTCGAATCAGATAAATGTATTTATTTTGCCTACATTGTCATAAAGGAATCCTTAAAGAAGGGTGTTTTAAGTACTATTTCTTTCTTATTCTATTTTTCTATCTAATTTAACTGTAACACTTTTTATAACCTCATACTTTTAAGGGGCTACTGCATATATTTTGATTTATCTGTTTTAGTAATATGTGACTTTAAAACAATTTTGCAAAATATGTCAAAAAATCACAATTATATATACTTAAAAAAATAAAAAAAAGTGACTTAAGTCAACAGACAGTGTTTAATTTACTGAAAAACATTTAGCAGTTTTTTATAAAGTTTGTGTTAAATCTACGATGGCGGAGTAAATTTTTTAATTAATAAACAAGACTTAAAATTCTGAAAGAAAAAAAATTAAGAATTTTTATTCAAACAAGATATAAGTACCAATTAAGGAAAATTTGAATTAAAATTTAAATACACAAAGAACATTTAAAGGCATAAAAATCTAATAGTTTTAAAAAATAACATGGAATAAATTATCAAAATAAACTAAAATTAGGAACATAAAATTTCGATTAGGATTTTAAAAAATATAAGATTAAAGAAATCACATTGGGGAAAAAAACTGATAAATGATAATGAACTCATAAAAGAGTTTCACTTAAAAAAATTTTTTACTTAATATAAGATTAGCTTAATTCCAAATAATCAATGATGCATATTTTACGAAAGCTAATAAGTAATGTACACAAATTTTGCATTTAATCCTCACAAAATAGACATTAAAATACATACCTCACCATTGACTGCATTATGGTTAACGAAGTTTTCTGAAAAATAAAATTTGATATGTAGACAATTATAAATAATAATTACAAGGCAATGTTGCACTAGCTTTAAAAGACAAATTAACAATTCACAAAACATTTCAACAAAATTCACAACAAATTTCAACAAAATACTGTCCATGCTTTTTAGTACGACCTCCCATCATGAGGGCTGCCACGAAGTCATGATTGCCATTCCATAGGACTAATATTAACTTTAATAGACTGTTCATATTGTGCTCTTTATTCCAATATAGTAATTCAAAATTAAATTTTGCTTCTAGTCAATGAAAATTTTTAAGTAAGTCTAAAACAATTTTTCGCTTTTAAAACAAAATGCTTCTATTAACAATGTATCACAGGATTTAACAAAATTTTCACAGAAATTATCTCAGCTACTTTTGTTTAAACGATACTAAACATTAAATTATTTAAATTTTTATTGTGTCGTGTGTTTGTTTAATCGAGTATATTTTGAATTATTACATTAGGAGGTTGAGACTAATCATAATAAAGTTGGTTTAAAGAATGTGTATAACTTTAAACCAATAAAAGCCTAGTAACCTACTCCAGCAACACAGACAAATTCTAGNGTGGGTGCCATGGCTGGATGAACTGACATGGAATGACCGAGTAACCTACTCCAGCAACACAGACAAATTCTAGATATGCAACGAATATTCAGCCAAATATTTGCTTAAGTATTTTTTGGAATTTGTATAATTGAAACTGGATTACCTTATACCAAATCATTAATTTTGAAGTGCTGTTAGTTATTTTTTTCATAATTATATTCAGGCAAGTCAATTTAGTAAGTTTTTTTTCATACTTTTTTGTTTTTAAGAATTGAGGATTTGAAATTCATACTTTTTTGTTCTTAAGAGTTTGATACTCTTATTATAGCGCAACATTTTAAAAGAGTGTTTCTCATGACGCTATTCTTTTATCGCCGCTCTTTTCCTGTACAGTAAGAAATAACTGGTAACACAGAGACCATGATTTTCAATGTTATCGTTCCATTTTAAGAATTAAGAACCTTTTTCTGTTTTCTTTAAGCAATCTTGTAACGACACAGGGTTGGGTTTTTGCCATCAAAAACTGGTTTTTGACATGACAGTGGTAAAAACCGCCAAAAACCTACTGTTTTCTTAAATTTATGGCATATAGCGGACCAGTAGCCCCCCCAAGCTCTTGGGCGCATTCTTGGGCAAATTCTGAATTCCCCCCAAACTATTCGTTTTATTTAGTGTAACAATCCCCCCCAAGCTTTAAGTGGGCGCATCGTGCGCCCCCCCTGGTGGGGGCCCCTGTAGCGGACAATATATTATTTTCACTTAATTGCCTTTATAAGTGAATGTTGTAAATGATTGCTATTGATTTTGCAACTATATACACGTATTCTTATAGAAGGATATACATTCATATAGAAATATTGTAACATACTTATTGAAAATAGTGATACTTGACTTTAATCATCATAGCTTGATTTGCAAAGGATTCAAAATTTTACACTTCTTAATTGTTCAAAATAAACAAACAAACAAAATAACTTGGAACTATTAATAAATTCAAGAACTAAAAAGAAGAATTTAAAATTTGGGATTTCTTAAATATTAGAAATAAGCTAAACAAAACTTTCAAAACTTGTAACTGCTAACAAACTCTAAGTTAGGAATAACTTGACATTCTTCAGTAATGCAATATGCTAAACAAAATGATGCTTGGAAATGTTTAAAATTTTGTTTAGTATCCCAATATTTTACTTCAAATAGTAGGATTTGATATAATCATGTTGGGAAAATGCAAAAANTAAAATTTGGCATTTCTTAAATATTAGAAATAAGCTAAACAAAACTTTCGAAACTTGTAACTGCTAACAAACTCTAAGTCAGGAATAACTTGACATTCTTCAGTAATGCAATATGCCAAACAAAATGATGCTTGGAAATGTTGAAAATTTTGTTTCAACTAATATTTTACTTCAAATAGTATGATTTGATATAATCACGTTGGGAAAATGCAAAAAACTGTTTTTAAATATCTTCTAACAACTTTTTTTGTAATTTTATTGCCCAAAAATGAATTAATTTTAAGTCATAAGAAGTTAAACTCAAATTAAAACACAGTTCATGGGTGCAAGTTGAAAAAAAGGACAAGACTGAAAATTTTTTGACAGAAATACCTAACATGCACAATACCCCCTCCCCCCGACATATGCAAAATATCTAAGAAAGCTTTACCATAATACATCAAGTTTAAATACTGTACAAAAAATATTTATTCATCTGTCTTTTGATAAAATAACAACAGGACATAAGAAAGTAGACCAATAACGTAGACCTAAAAAATATTTTTAAAGACAGAAAAAAAAATTCCGATTTCTGTCTTCGAGTTAGTTTTGTTTCCGTCTTACTTCCGTCTGCAGACACTTTCGAAAGACGGAAATCCGTCCTGGGGACGGAAAACTTGCACCCATGATACAGTTTTATCAAAACTATGGGTATTTGACAGAGGGTTTTTTGACATGAGGGTAAAAACCATGGTACAAACTGGTAAAAACCGTCACGTGTCAAAAACTTGCCAACCCTGTAACGACATAACATTTTTAAACGAGAGTTATCCTTTTATCATCTCTTAGACTTAAGAGGTTGGGTAGCTCCAAAGAGCATGGCACATCGACCAGACGTCTATTTGTATCATCACTTAAAAATACGGAAATTTGAAAATTAACATTTTTCATTACAAAAATAAGAACGATTTTTGTTTCTGCTTCTATTTTTTTTTAAAAAATTTAGTTTTTATTATTACATAGCAATTAGAGGTTTTCTATTAGAATCTTTTTTCTGCACTTTTTCTTGAAAAACTGAGATGTTCAGTTCAGCTTTAAAATTTTCTTTACAAAATTAAGATTGATTTTTTCTGTTTTGTATGTAATCTTTTGACTTCATGGCGTTTCTGACAGACTATCTTTAAAAGCTAGTGTAAAATATTTGTATTCAAACACTGTAGGTACCTAGTAAGTTGGCAAGTTTAAAAAAGGCAAAATGTCAGATTACAATGTATGATTTAAAAGAAAGTACTGAAAATAATTTAACTTAAAACTTCATCAGAAAAAATGAAAGGTACAACTCTCAGCCACCCCAAGCAAACACCGAAATGTTTTTCTTTTTTGATTTTAAATTTGCAAATGGTTAATGATGTGGAAATATCCTCAAACAAATGTAACTCTTTTTTTAACCAAATTAAGAATTACGATACGGAAACCTCCCCAAGAATATGAAGAACAAATTAAAAAATAAGTGGGATTTTTAAAGATACCTAACAAAATATTGATAGTAAATTTTTTGCCAAAAATCATACTATGCCAAATTTGGCGACAAAAATCATTAGAAATAATAACCATAGCTAAATCTCTAAATTTTAATACATTAAACTAATTATGGAAGAAACGAGAACTAACAAAACAAGTAAACTTATTTAAAGCTAGAATATGAACTAATTGAAGCACAATTAGAGAATTATAATAATGGGACACTCCAATTCGTATTTCAATGAACGAAGATATTTTTTTTTACTCATGAATACTTTCAAATGAAAAGTTGAAATAAAATGAGAAAACAAATAAACATAACGTTCTATAGGAAAGTCTAGATATTATAATAAAGACATAATTAATGAAACAAGTTTCTCTAACTACCTGTAGGAAAACTGTTATTAGTTTCTTCTTCTGTCGTTGCAGCTCCTAAGCCTAAGTTATCATCTTCTAAACCTGCTAATTCATCCTGTTCTCTAGCCAAAAAAGCAGCAGCAGGGTCTTCTTCGGTAGGAACATGATTTACTATCTCACCTTCAAATTCAAAATCTGACATATTAAAATGAGTAAAGCACGGCTAGAGTAATTTTCGACGTGAGGAGGCGTTTTGAAGTGTAGCAGAAAGAAAGTGAAAAATAACAACAAAATCCGATCGGTTTCACTCTCTCACTTCACTTTACACTTTACGAGAAAAAAACCGGAACCTAGTAGTTAGTAATCCAGGGAAATCTGAGGAGCTATTCTCACTGCGTAAAATTTTACTCCACGCATGTGGAAATTTTACTCCACGCAAACTTATATTTTTGAGAATGGGGAGCGAACTCCCATTTTGCGGAACTTTAGGACTTTATTTAAGTCGATTAGGTACTTTATTTTCGTCGCACCAAAGTTGCACAACGGGCAATCGGCAATGATCTGGAAATCTTCCCTGAGGATAATTCAAAGACTTGCCATCCCAATTTTGCGAAATGAAATTCCTAATTTGACCGAGGAAGGAAAAAATAGAGAGCAGCTGAAAAGAAATATGGGTTAACTCGTATAATGATAAATAATGTAGCATCTAACTCTCCCTAATTCACTTGATAAACTTTTTATTTAATTGTTGCTGTTGTAGTTAAACTTCACACTAGAGCTGCGCAGTGGGCTATTGGCGACGGTCTGGGAAACATCCTTAAGGATGATCCGAAGACACGTCATCGCAATTTTGATCCTCTGCAGAGGGGATGGCACCCCCGCTTTGGTAGCCCGACGGCCTGCACTTCAAGTCGAGTGCTTTACGGCAGAACAGTTAACGAGGACCGTTACCGCGCACCCTCGGTCCCTACGCAGCTAATCCAAGTGGTCACCCACCAGCACACTGACCGCAGACAGTGATGCTTGACTTCGGTGATCTGCTGGGAACCGTGTCTTAACGATCAGTCCACTGCGGAAGACTTTTTATTTAAAGAGCACCTAAAAGGAACCCTGGGTAGAATATTACATATATTCCATAAATTTTTTTAGAATATATTATACAAAAGAGTTTAGATACTATATGTTGCCTGCCAACACAGGTTTGTCTGGTAAAAAGACGTTCAATAAAGATATATATTATGTAAAGATAATATATATTTGAATCCCAATGGAGCTCCATGTATACTGTTTTTCTTTAATATCTGCTACCAGTTCAGCAATTTACCAGGGATTATAAGTCGTTTTTAAAACTGAGCACTACTTTGGCTCTTTTCTTTCATTTACGTAGCATTAGTGCTGCATAATGAGCTGCTATATTGGTAACGGTTTGGGGAATATTCCTGAGGATAATCAGGAGACAACCTGCGTACGTCACATCCCGTTTTTCCGGGAGGACGCATTCACACACCATCCATCAGCAGATCGTAATTTTATTTGAACCAGAGCACAATCAATCTCTGCTTCGGTAATCACAGAAATATTGGGAACTTGGAGGACTTTGTGCCCCGACAGATTTTAATAGTGAGCCCTAAATCCTGCATAAGTATGTCTAAATGAATAAAATTTACTCTTCTATGTTTTGATCTAAATCATGATAGCATATTTTCATCTTAGTCAACAATTATTCCGACTTAATTCCACTTCAATCTGTAGACAATAAATACATTTTTACACAAATCATTACTATTTAAATTTGATAACCAAAGACGCTAACAGGTGATGGTCTTTCGACACTGCCGTATATAGACTTAGGTGCGCCCTAATATCTTAAACTTTCCACAAAAACGGCTACGATGAAAAGATATTCGAATATTTATAATCATTTATTTTATTTTAATGTAATATAATGATAATCGATGAAACAGCGTAATTCCGATTAAAGGGCGAAATTAAGAAGATGTAGTGAATCGAAGCATTAATTGTATACACTTACTACATTGAAATGAAATTGATCTCAATTAAAGAAAATAGCACACTATCTCACAAAAATTATATTCAAAGTTGAATTATGAGTTGTTAATATTTCTACAGTGAATTAAATAAAAATATTTTTAATGTAACACAGTCTTATTTTTTCTGGTACATACGTCCTCCTCCGCTGGGATGTAAATTACGCCCTTGTTTTACGACAATAATCAACGCCTGTGACACATTTATACACGTTAAACCTTGTTTCATGTAGCAGGTTTAGGCTTTCTTGTACCTGCTACTAGAAATAAGGAAAGTTGTGAAAAGATGACAGTTTAATTTAATAGTTTTTCTTAAATGGCAGAATATAAGGAAAAACTTTATTTAAAAAGTATTTGACAATGTCTAAAAAATATGCCGAGCTTCAGATAAAATTTTATAAATTACCGAATAGTGAAATTTTTTGAGGTCATTTACTACTACAACTTAGCAGGGTTGGGTTTTTGACGTCAAAAAGTGGTTTTTGACATGACAAGGGTATAATACTGGTTTAAACCGTCAAAAACTGAAGTTTGCCAAGAAAATATATAAACTTCAAAACTACCAACAGTCGCCGTGCATTATATTGAAATTTAATTATACTATAGGTAATCAGCAGGTTTTAAAATATTTTTTAATTAAAATTAAGGTAAAATAACAGATTTAAAATCTCAGAAATTTATATTCAAATGCATGTGCAGAAAAATTTTGCACAAAAATTGTTTAAATATTTATATTTAAAAAAATTTTTTTTTTCTTTTTGATACTTAAGAAAATTAAAAGTTTATTACTATGCATTTTTGACATATAAGGAACATATAACTAATATTTATAAGGAACTTACAAGTTATGTTGTATAAATACAAACTTGATATAAGATACAAGTGTATAAAATTTTTTTTTTAATGTTATACCGAATATCTTTATTATCCAGTATGTTAATTTGAATTTAAAAGTAGTTATATTTATGAATAATGATAAATATAATTCATATTGTTTATTATATTTATTTATAATTATTACACTTATCATTTTAAAACAATTTTTATCTCTTAATTTTTTTTTCTCCACTTGTATTAAGAATACAAATAATGCATATCTTGAAAGCAAGAAGTAATTATTCAACAGCTGAATATTTAGATATTCAACAAAACTATATCGTATTCAGCAAAATGAAATTCACAAGTATTTGGATAAACTAAATTTTCAGCATAGTAAATGAATAGGCTGAATATACTGTAAATCGACACTAACTACTCTGTGTATTTAACAGAAAGCACTTAAATTTGTATTGTCTTATGTTAAAAAGATTATTAAGAAGATTTAAAAGAATATTAAAAAGATTTTTCTTTAAAAGATGTCTAATGTACAAAACTGCTAATGTTTATCTTTAAAAATGTCTAATTTTTAGTATAATCTATACTATACACTAAATTTGGTTATAAATAAATTTCTTAATAATATCACTGCAGATTTTCAATAACACATGAAAATGAATACATAATATTACAAAAGATGTGAGTTTTCAAAAGTACAAGATTTTGGTTACTATTCAAAATATAAGTGTTTCTTCAAAATTTATTTTTTCTAGAACATATTTAGAAACACTATCCTTTGTAAAAAATATATAAATTTTATGCATTAATTAAATTTCACATATGAATATAGGATTTTGACAGTGAGGTTTTTGACGTGACGGTTTAAACCGTCAAAAACCTGCCAACCCTGCAACTTAGAGACCCTTATTCGGTATTTTTAAGTCAACGTAAATGATTATTTAACGTTTTTATTTGGCTACCACTTTTTTTTCTTCTTTTTATCCTGATTCAATTCTGGCACCGGAACTTTTCATATCAATACAGTAACCAAAAATTGATTTTTTTTTTATTCCTTAACTTCGAAAATATCTATCAAACATTTGTCAAAACAAAATGTTAGTGCTCCCCAGGAATAAAAAAGGGCACTTTGAGTTTAGAAAGGGCATTCACTTATCACCGCTAAAATTTATCAAAATATGTAATGTTATGTAATAACTGAATTTGTTCTTTAAATTATACTCTTTTATGTGCGTATTTCACCAAGTAATTCTCACTCCTTATTATAATAACAGAACATAATTAAAAGCAGTAAAAAAAAAATAATAATAATCTGTGTATAAATTTATCTTGAAAAAAAAACTTGACAAAAAAAAAAGCTCAATTGTTTTTTTTTATATAAATTTTAAACTGGAAATTATGAGAAAATAAACACTTGCATTTTTAATTAAAAGCTATTCATTAAAAAAAATAATGGTAAAATTTAAAATCACTAAAAGAATCATCAATATACTTTCCTCCCAAATAAAAGATATGAATAACTCTGAGGCCTAACATCATGCGAATTTTAACTATATAACTAGACTGTACAGGACAAATTTTAATAAAAAGGAGCCCTGTTAAATAATTACCATTAACTAAATAAATCAGAAGTGGACTCTATTGAAACATGTGGTTAAGACAACAACCCTTTCCAAAAAAAAATTATAAAAGAGAAGCGTTTTTAAGCGTCGTTGAACAGCCGATCCAATTCTGGGTTCACGACTACCACTGTTCAACTCCGTATCCTTATAATTTTGATCCAAATCCAGAAGACAAGGGATCTCCGGGATCAGTACCCCCAGAGGTATTGATTTGTTATGTAGGTAGTCCGATCAGACCACTATGAAAGTAAACCAAATAGTGAAAGAACCATTTAATATGAAATATATTAAAAATTAGAAAGTGGTAGCAAATATTGTCTAAAAATTTCTTTAAGAATATAATTGGTTTGTTTTATTTACTTGTCAACCACTACAGATTCAATTCTGAAATTATATGGTAAATTTCTCTCAAGTACATTTCAAAAAGAATTTGGGTTCATGTGCACAAGTGGTTCGCTATTTAAATAATCTACGCAGACTACTTATAAGAAACCGTGTGGAGGCTTTCTGATGTAGGAGGTGATGGGCTATCCCGGCCCCCAGGATGACGCATTTGTAAGGATCAAAGAGAAGGCCGCTCTCAAAAAACGCTTAGGGAGAACATCGCAAAATGCGTCTATTAACAATGAGTAATTCAGAAGCCGTGGTGGCTTAAGGGATAGAGCACTCGCCTCCCAATGAAGCGAACTGGGTTCGAATCCCAGTGATAGCTGGTCTATACGAATTCCGCACCGACATAAAAATATTCTCAGTGGTGGACGGATTATGGGTTAGAGGTTTTCGTGGTTTCTCTCTCCATATAACGTAAAGGCGAGATAGTTCCATCAAAAAGTCTTCCACTGAAGCAAATTTCTCCCAATACTTGATCCTGGAGTTCCCTTGTCTTCTGGGTTAGGTTCAATATTACAGGGCTACGGTGATGTACATTAAGAGTCCAAAATTGGGTCGGCAATTCAACGACGGTTATAAAATAAAATGAGTAATTCAGTCTAGCAAAGATTTCAAAGGAAATTTTTAAACCACCTTTCTTTTTATGTTATTGCACATAATTTGTAAAAAAATGTTTGAATGGAATAAGAGTGATACCTCTTAGAATTTCATCCAGAGAGAGCGAAACATGGATTGCTTCTCACTGATAATCAAAAGTGCACATTGCCAAGTCAGGCAAAAATAAGATGGCGCTATTCATATTTTCGTTGGAAAACTTTGTTTCCCCCTCTCACTCACGGCAAAATATTAGTTCCCTTGAGTGGCTTATTTTAGAGTTAAAACATGCAATTATTTTATTTCAAGAGCTGGATTTTCTTTTCCACTTTGTTGATATCTGGATGTATGTTTTATTGAAAGTTGTATTTTATTACTATATTGTAAATATTAATATCTTTTAATATTATTGATATCATTATATAAAGGAATACAACAAATTAGAAATCAGTATAATATTGAATATAATAACATATTGGGAATCAGCATATTATTTTAAAGTTTCATTTACTTATCCTTGCTCAGAATGTATTATTCTAGTTTTTTTTAAAATACTATATATTAATAGAAAAAAGTTGCACACTTATTCTGTTAGTTTCGAAATTTTTATTAAAACATAGTTCATTGTTTTGTATAAATTTTAGTTATAGATAATTATAGGTGAAATCAATTATATTATTGTGCACACGAGTTTTATGGCAACCTGTCCTAAGCACTACCTGTGAGGCTAAATTCTTGAATCACCGCAAGATGTCGCATTGGAGCTCTACAATAGCAAAATGAAACTTGTACAAGCAACAAGACTTAAGCTATTTTGCAGCACATTTCAAGTTTGTATCCTGAATTACAATTACGAATTAATCCAATTTTATGTATAAATTTAACCCACTTTTTTAAAAGAAAAAAATATGCCGGCAATAATATTTGATTTATGTTATGTATGATATACATCTTCTTTTTGAGGTTAATATTTGCTTTAAACTCTGCAGCCAGAGGTTCAACTGGTTTTACTATGCAAGAAATTTCTCTTTTCTCTGTGTGAAACAGAAAATATCCACTACCTCAATACAGAAGAGAAAAGCAGCTTCTTGATGCGGAACACACTCTGTACGACAAATATTAACTATGCGATGCTTTTGTTAAGTAATAAGGAGAAAAAAAAAAGACATATGTTGTCTACAACAGAAATAATGACTGAAACAAACAAAAAGAATGCTTGAAAAATTTAATAAAAAATTCAAACTTATAGATTAATATGAGTGCATAAATGTTTAAAATTGATATACTTTATTATCATAAAAAATAAATTAAGTATAATCAAATGACAGCGGGGAAGAATCTCTTGGTTTTTTAATTTCGTATTTCATTCCCCAACAAAAATTTAAACTTTATAAACTTACCTGATAAAGAATTGAATATAAAGTTATTTTTCAAAAATTTCAAGCGCAAATTAAAAAAAAATTTAATTCATTTTATAATACTTCATGGTTGAGGTAAAAATGTTAATAAACATAAGAAATATTATCTTTTTGGTGTAATGAACATTGAAAAAATAGCTTCTTTTTAGAACATTTTATTACAGAAAGGTACAGAGGAATAGTGAAAGTACGTAAAGTGCTACATACAATATTCATAGCTGACAAACCTAAACCTTATTTTTTTGTACTCTTTATAGTAATTAAAAGTGGCAATACTTTTTATGAACACCGGCAATTTTAAAAGCTCTGAATTAAACTTCAATTTTATTCTTGATTCACAATTGATAAGATTTTTTTTTTCGTTTTTTAAAAATTTCATAATATTTTACAAAGTCAATATTTGGAGTCAATACATATAACAGGAATCAAATGCACAAAATTGAAATACTGGCATACCTTACACACATTTTATGAAAATATATCATCACAAAAACCATTCCCACTTACAAATACTGCTAAACAGAGCACATTAATCCTATTCACATTTTCGTCAATACATAAATATTTTTTATACTATTCTCTATATAATCTTTTGTGTGTGTCTCAGAATTAAGTTGTACCTAATCGATATTTTCATATAACTGCATAGGAATGACAGCTATGAGATATATTTATTTATATATATATAAAAAGACATGATTCATACCATAGGTGGTTCTGTATAATTATACTTATGCATATTTGAAACGAAAGAATTACCAATTTTAATGTTCGAATTACAGCTGGATCGCTCGGTAGATTCACATTTTATGCCCTCCAAGCTGCCCTGAATTAAGGAATTCATACCGGAAATGCTCGAAATATCCTTGATTTCCTCTAAATCCTCTGCAGTGAATAAAGGCTGATCATCAGTCCAAGACAAACTAGAAAATATATCATCAGGATCACTTTTTGTCAGTGAAGTACTAACTTTAGTAGGGGAAGTAAACACATCCATTTCTGGAGTTAAAGAGGAACTTAAAATATTCTCGCTATCCGTGACAAGATATTCCCACCCTTTATCCAGAAGGCTCTCAAAATCGTAACCTTTCATATCATAAGGCTCTTCCGAATGGTTCTCGAGAATACTAGGGAAATTGATTTCTGGAATGTCATCGCCACTGCTAGAGCTACAGCCAACATCGACAGCCTCATCCGATAAACTACAAGAACTATTGCTATCAAAGGAGGAAGCATCGAGTTGCGCTGCATTATACGACGTAGACTGGCCATTGGACTGTGTTTTACGGTTTCCATTCTCATATGGAAATACAGACTTAGATTTGTTCAAATACTTTTGGTCCTCTGAAGCCCTCGCTGTTTGCACCCTCGCAGCACCACGATTCACTATAGCCTTGACCTTGCTCGCATAGCTGTGGAGCGATGTATTGTCCATGCGAGCTTTGTTCAACTTTTTCGAAGGATCTTCTCCGTAAGAACTGAGATGAGGAAAGTTCTTGCCAGCAGCAACTTTAGCGGCATTCGACCGTTGCCTCGCTCGTTTCAGACTTCTCTTGTTCTTGCCTTCCTTATCCTTGCTTCGCTTCCCGTCCGATTTAGGCTGCAGGTGCTTCCGACGAAAATGAGCTTGGAGGTTTCCTTTCTGAGAAAAACACAGCTGACACTCATCGCATTGGAAAGGCTTCTTATTTTCGTGCACCTGCTGTATATGCAGCATCAGTACTGAACGCCTAGTGTATCCTCTGTTGCAAATATCACAGATAAAAGGTTTTTCACCTGTGTGACAGTTCATGTGGCGTTGTAAAGAGCTTTTTATATTGAAGGATTTATGGCATAGTTCACATTCGAATGGCCTTTCATTATTGTGGTGGCGCAGGTGAGCTTTTAAATGCTCTTGCTGGGAGAAATCTTTGTCGCAAATGTTGCATTTGTACAATTTTTTGCTTGCGTGAAATTTTAAATGCTGATTGTAATTGCCTTTCTGGGAGAAGCGCTTATGACAAATCTGACATTGATATTGATGTTTCGAATGAGTCAACATGTGTCCTTGTAAATGATGTTTTTTGGAAAACACTTTTCCACAAAGTGTGCAGACTAGAGTTTTTTCATGCAACCTCAGATGTTTTCTATAAAATATGTGGTTTTTGAATGCTTTTTTACATAACATGCACACTGTGATCATTTCTTGATTGTAAGGATCGCCATCTAGAAATTAAAAAAAATATTCTTTTTATATTTAATTTCAAAATTGCAATTTAATCAATGAAATTTAAGATCACATTCAAAATAAATTTTCTGAAATTGTAACTACTTTAGAGCATTATAGCATTTAAATACATAATGTAAATGAAAAACATAACACACATTGTGTCAGTTTACAAATTAGGAAATTAACTATTGAGAAAATTTTTTCTATATATAGTGCTTTTCCCTACATTTTAAGGGTTGACATATATTTTTGTTCTTGATTTCCTTGTATAGAAAAACATCTACAGAATTAACCCAGACAATTTTTGTTTAAAAATCTTTTCCCTGTATATAACTATGAATAGTCATAAACAGTTATAGTCACGTAGTGAAAAAATGTGAATATAATACAGAAAATGAAACATATCACAAACCATATATTATTACTGTAGCATACTAGACAGTGTTTGTTATTTGTGATTTAAACGATGGCTTAAATTACAATCTTTTTTTTTAAAGAGAAAAAATTGTCAAAATAAGTTAAGTATCTACGCAGTCTGTTTTTATCGATTTTAAAATTTATAAAATGCAATGCCTATATTAAAGAGGATATTCAAAAGTATTCCTATGCATTAGCAGTAAAACNCACTTTTTGAAGTCAAAAACCCAACCCTGTTAAAGAGGATATTCAAAAGTATTCCTATGCATCATTAGCAGTAAAACATATCATTACTTTACTATTTTATATATACATGAATGAAGGCAACTTGAAATTTTCAGTTCTTTTTATTGTTCTATTATTTTCAAATATTTTTGAATTGAAGAATATATTACCTTTATTTTTCAGACTATCCTTAAAATTTGTATTACTTATATTGAGAAAATAAATATGATTAGTTCATGAATTAAATTGAATACAGCTAATTACACCATGCAACTTAATGTTTTTAGATGTTTTCATCATTCTATTACTTTCAAATATTTCTCAAATTCAAATATAGTATCTTAAATCTTTCAAGGCTTACTTAAAATTCATATGAATTAATTTGAGAACAAAAATATTAGCCCATTAGTTAAATTGATACAAACGTCAAATTGAATACAGTTAATGACATTAAATAATGATGAAGTATGAGGTTTTTCATACATATTACAAACAAAAAGGAACTCTACACATTAATATAACATTTTAATATTAAATTTTTATTTGCATGTTAAGTTGAAAAGCAAAGTAATATTTTATTCATAATTCTCAGTTACTCTTTTTTTATTAGAGTAGCATTTAATAAAAAAAGTGGATATTTATAAATTGTTTATTAATGCTAATTTAGTGGTGAAATTTCTTTCCACAGACATACTTTTAATTTAAACGCAACCTATTACTTAGCATTTTGTTTTAAATAAACAAAATCCTTTTTACCCTCAACTGATGCTGGATCTTTTTCTATCCAAAATAAAGTATAATATTGTATAATTTTAAATAATTTCTAAATTCCAAATTTCCTTAAAAAAAAATTAGGAATTTAATTAATGTTTACTATATAATACACCCATCAATAAGTCATGGTAAACATGCACTTTACTCTCGTTTCTACCAACACAAAATAAACTTTTAGCTTTTACTTTTCCATACCCATTGCAGCCCTGCTGGTAACACAATTGGTTCTTATAGTGTTTAAGTTTAAAAACATACTTCGTGAATTAAATTATAGTACTAATAAAGTATCAAACACTAACGAATGTTTACATTATTAAACATTAGTTAAAAGCAAGGATTAATTTTCCATTAATGGAAAAAACTACTTAAAAAAAATAGACTCCTAAACAAGTNCATACTTCGTGAATTAAATTATAGTACTAATAAAGTATCAAATACTAACGAATGTTTACATTATTAAACATTAGTTAAAAGCAAGGATTAATTTTCCATAATTGGAAAAAACTACTTTAAAAAAAAATAGACTCCTAAACAAGTGGAAGAAACTTCTTTTAAACAAATTAATACAATCTGTTAAACAGTTGATAACTACAATCTACTTTAAATAATAGTATTAATTTCCATGCTATTTAACAATTTATTTTTAAATATACCAAATTGAAATAAGTAAGAATTGAGAAGAAAAATAAAATTAATAAATTTCTTAAGAAATTAAAACTGAATTTTTTTTTTAATATTTTACATAAGTTAGCATTCATACCTTTATTTTAATAAAGTTTATCTAATCAAATAATCACATTCAAATTTTATTAAAATACTATCAAATTAGCATACTAACTCATATACCGTAAAAAATTAATAAAAAATATGATATAATATAGTTAAAAATTCTGCATACTACCCAAATATGAAAACAGCTAATTTATTTATAAGGAGTTAATGTGAAAATCCTTGAACCTTCTGACAAATTATAAAACAGTTGCATTACTCAATTTTTATTTCGTTTGGACAAGATTTTTCTTTTTCTTTGAAAAGTTTATAAGGAAAAATATTTTAATTTAAAAATATTAATAATTCTATGATAAGATAGACACAGAATTAAGGCCAAACTTTTAACATCCTGAAACACCAGAGAAGATAGAAAAAATATTGGTCAAAAAAATCTTTGTCAGACAAAACATGACATCAGAAATTTTTTTACAATAATCATAACACATCAATTAATACACATTCTACATACATTTTTAAATAAGAGAAAAACAATGCATAATATAAAACAAAGCACTTACTGCTCTTCTTTTTTAAATGCTTTTTACTAACACTAGGTGCTTTCATAGCTGCAGTATGATCATTATCAATAGCTCTTGATATACGTTCATCTACTGATTTATTTTCAACATATGCGTTATGTTCAAGAAACATTTTATTCTGAAAAAGAATGACTGTGTTTAACTACTTATAACAAAAATAATCACAATGCAAAGATTCCTGTATTAAAAAATTTTTTTTTCTTAATACAGCCCATATTATTTAGTAAATTAAGTTATATATATTAATATGTAAAAAAAATGATTTAAAATCACTGTAACCCTGATTTTATTACTTTTTTTAAAAATTTATTATTCATATGAGGATTTGAAGCATATAATTAAAAAACCTCATAAAAATACAAGTTACTGATATTGTCTTTTTAAAGTTTAATTTATCACCACACCAAATATATTTCATTTGCTCTAAAAACATTTTAACAACCTCATCCAACTTACAATATAAGAGATTCTATAAAGAAAAATAATGCTTAATTAAAAAAACAATTTCGTGCAGACTTTTTTGCTTTGGTGCAAAATAAATAATTTATATGCAGTCAATTTGACATAAAAATCTGCTTACAACTATTGGTTTCTAGGTAGAATGTGCAAACACAGTAAAGGCCCTATAAATGACAAATACGCACTTAAAGGCTATTAAATATATTTTAATTTCAAAAATTAATAGAAGCTAAGAATTTTCAAAAATAGATTAACAATATGCATAGCATAAGGGAGGGGGGGGCACGCTTTGATTATAAATGATGGCTTATTTTAAGTTTTATACATAGTTATATATAAATATGCATACATATAAAAAATAAACATGCATAAATACATAACACTTACAATAAACAAAGTTTTTTTAAAATTAAAAAGTGTGCCTCCCCATATGTTACACCTAAGAAATTAACAATATTACATTTGACATACACTAAAAAAGTATGCAGTAGCAAGTTGTTTGATAAAAAAACTTTTAAATGTCCTCTATCTACAGAGATGCCAACTGCTCCGGACACGCCAAAATAATTAAAAAAACGGTAACTAATTACAAAGTAAATTTTGCAAATATTTGACTATTTTTGCTTGCTTTTAAAAAGTATAGCATGACATAAGTACTATAAAGTGGTGAATTATATAAGCCTACAAATTATTTAGAAATGGTGGATAAAAATTTACTGAATTGAATTTATTAAATCAAGAATCACAATTGATTAATTATCACTTTAAAATATATATTTGCTGTCCACAGCAAATTGGCATCTCTGTATCTATATAAACAAGTTTGTGCAGGAATATATAGCACAACTGAGAGTTCTTAAGATAATAGTTCACTCATCATGAGCAGATTTACTTATCTGAATTGACATATTACATTAAAGCTAAAAATTACGCACATAATATAAATACTTCTATACCTCATTCAAATACAATACACCCTTCTCTGTATTTTTTCCTTATTATAATGACATTAACGTGGTATTTTGTAGGTTTTGTAGCTAAAAATGGTCCTTAATTTACATGGTTATAGATAGTCTGAGTTTAAATAAAATTGTTTCAATCGTTAAACTCATATAGAGTGTATATTTAATATATATTCTAAGAAAATGACATGCTAGTTAATAGGTTCTTGAAAGTATATTCAGAATTTATATACAATAAGAAGGAGAGGAAAAGATAATATTCATTACAAAGTATATGAACAAAGTACAAAGTAAGTGAACAAAGTATATGAAGTACTTCCATAATGAATATATAGTTAAAATAATCTTACAGTGTACAAAATGGTTCAATAATATAAAACTATTTAATTTAATATCTAGTGAAAATTAGTCCCTACGTTGCAATGTAATAAGCTGAGAAACTTCATATATAATTTTAAAGATTTAATATTAAAAAAAAAAAAAGAAGAAATGATTAGTAATCATCTGAATAAATTAAAAAGATCAAAGCGCAACTTCAGATTAGAATCATACTATAAATTCAATATTAACTATCAACATGTTAAGAAATAACTTTTTTTTGAATAACAGGCATAATCTAATACAAGTAATAATACTTACAGAAAACAATATGGACATCAAATAATATAACAGTGATTTATAAATTAATAAAAAAAATTTGTTGTTTTATATAATACTAGAATAACACAGACTTCATTAACATGCTTTAACATGATACTCAATGATTTACTTGCTATTGAAATAAACAGAATTTTTTTTAAATATTATTTAAATTAATATTTTTTTCATTAATATAATATTAAAAAAAATATTGTAAATCTAATATTTGGAATTAAATAAAAATAGCAATTATACTTGGATTATGAACAAAAAGTTACAAAAACAAGTCTTGGCATGATAAGCAAGGATAACATCAGAATCTAATTAAATAATAAAAAATAAATAAAATTATTTTATAAAAACACTAAAAAAATGTAAATAAATAAATAAAAACGATTAATTTTTTATTTACAAACAAAAGGTGGAGAGCAAGGTATTGAAAAAATCCCGCCTTATCAGCTGTCTAAATATGGATCTTGGCGACATTTTTTGGCGCCAAATCGAAAAGTCAAACAAAGCGGTGTACGGCTATATTTCAGTTTGTCAACAGATAATTAAACTTTGCAGTTACAAGCATGAATCTGTTATTATTGGTGCAATATGTAGCAAAACAATCTTTATGAAGTTATTGCACATAATAACAAGACGCACTTTCATAATACAAACACTACATAAAGTTTAGGGTCTGCAGCCGTCAAAGCCCAGACATACCGCCTCCTCACAGTCAACAAAACATATACAAACAATAACAACAAATACAATGTCAAGTGCAAAAATTACTTACACTATTCAGAAAAATTCCGAGAGTAAACTTGATAAGAATCAGTAAAATATTACAAAGAGATCAACTACGCATTACAAAGAACAATAAGTAGCGGTTATTTCCAGATAGGCTTAGTTTGCGCGGTTTTTATATTCCAAGGAACAACACTAAAGAAGAGGAGATGCTTTATAAATCATTACACTGCACACAATTATGCCATATTTATTCACAATTATTAAAATTTTTAACTTAAAAATTTTGAAGAATAACAAAATATACAAAATTAAAGAAACGCGGTAAAACACCAATAACAACGCCTGTAGCGTGTTTAACAATAGGAAAAAAGTTATGTTGAGTTGTTTTCTGATGTTACGTGAATTTAAATGACATGATTTAAATGACATGACTGAGGAAACGTTTAAATCATGAAAATGTCCGGTATTTTGCAAATAATTAGAAGTAAATTTATAAAACAGAACGCAAACAATATGAGTGCCTTCATATTATCTGCAGCCAGAAACTAACAGGCAAAATGTTTTGCAAGTTTCGATTGATGCGGATAATTCAGCCGCACGTGCGGTGGATTAAAATTTTCCTTTTAAAGGACCATTCAAGTTGCTGCGTTGAATCGATTCAACTGTACGTGAATACGTTTCGCACCTGCGATTGCAGTTTGAATTACATGTTGTTTTTTAAACATTCGCATGCACGTAAAAGATAAATAGATGGAATGAGACTGTGATTCACGCGTGCGTGAGCAATTCATTTTAAGAACCACTTATACTTCTTGTGAGTTCCTGTCCTGATTGAGCCTGAACTTGTCATTCAGATTCTTGTTCACATATAAATACGCATACACGTTTTAGAACATGCAGTGAGGATGGCCCATGGGTTGGTATTACGGGATCAAGCCAGGGCCGCCTCGAAAGAAGTCTTTCGAGGCGGCCCTGATCAAGCTCCATTTTAATATTGGGGTTCCATTTAATGGATGATTCTTAGGGCCTGCTATTCGCATATGCAAATACACATAAATGGGATTCACGCAAGTTAGAGCAGTTAGTTTTCCATGCAGTTTCTAATCATTCACACTTTCGTCTAGGACAGTGTTTTCCAAACTTATGACTTTTGTGTACCCTTTCTAAATTTTTCGTAACACTGTGTACCACTAATAAAAAAACGAATGTATTTTTTATGTAAAAAAATTACACAAAAGTTAAAGATCACAACTGTTGACACCACTAATTATTAACCGTTAACTCAGCAAAAAATAGCCAATAGAAAAATACGTAATCGTAAATTTTCATGGCAAGATCAGTTTTTAAATAAAATTTTTTGAAATTTTCATTTGTTGCAAGATATTTCGCATAAGAACGCGTACCCCCCCTAAACTGTTTCCGTACCCCAGGGGGTACACGTACCACACTTTGGGAAACACTGGTCTAAGGACAATCGGATGAAATGTAAATGGCCATTCAGGGATCACCAGATTGCTGTCTGTTGTTTGCTCACGTCATTGATAGTGTACCCCCAACCCAACAAACCATGCAATTTTTTAAATAGATTTTTACATTATACGTATTTATATATAAGTTTTATTATATTTTATAACCGTCGCTGAATAGTCAACCCAATGTTTTGGGTTTACGACTACTAATGTTCAATTCCGCATATTTGTAATTTTGAGCCCAATCCTGAAGACAAGGGAACTCCTGTATCAAATATTGTGAGAAATTTACCGTCGTGAAAGACTTTTTGGTAGAACTAAGCCACATTTGCACTATATGGTGAGGAAAACCACGAGTACCTGCCACGGTTAGCCTGGCAGCAAGAGGACTCTAACCCATGATCCGTCTACCACTAAGGAGACTTTACGTCAGAACTGTGGTCGGCGTGACCCGGGTGCGGAATTCGTATCGACCAGCCATCACTGGGATTTGAGCCCAGTTTACCTTATAGGAAGACGAAAGCTCTATCCCGGGAGCTACCATGGCTTTATGTATAAGTAGTTACAAAAATTTGCAATAAAGTAGGATACTTTGACTTATTGCATAGTTGAGGCTTTTTATTTTATATCCATTATATATTTAAAGTCCACTCTTTAGGATAAATAAGCTTTAACTGATATAGATCTAACTATAGTTTGGATATATCCATCTTTAGTTTCAAGCTCACATATTTCATTTTTAACCTCTGTAAAAAGTTTGACACTCTCCTCCAATGTCTGGGAGGCCCATAGCCCAGTACGCAGTACTCTAATGTAACGCAAATAAAGTACCTACCAAGAAATTAGACGTTAGATTAGTAAAAGATATAAAAAGGAACGTTAAAAATGCATTAAATCAAATGATCCTAATACCAAAACACACATTTTTAAAAAACCCAGAAGACTTGATATTCAAAATTTATCAACCTTTTTCTTAATAACGATATCCCTATCCTCAACAAAGCCACATTTCTAGGTCTTACTATTAATAAAGATTTAAACTGGAATGGCCATAACGTCCAAAACCATTAGAAAAGCCTCTGAGACTTACAATAAATTAAAATGCTTACTGGGTCTCAACTCAAAAATGTCTCGTAAAATCAAATGCTACATTTACATGACTTGCATAATATTAATAATCCTATAAGACTGTGGACTACTACATTACAAGGCCATAAACACTGATTTTAAATTAAAAACTTTAACTGAAACACTTATGATCTTAAATATTCAATTTTATAAAAAAAGCTCTCAAATATACTACAGCTAATTAAAACATAATCTTTGATGCTGATATGGTCAAAGAATATACAAAAACTAGACCCATAGCTCACTTTTTCACTAGTGATACAATTCTCTCAAATAAATTTTACTCTAATTAAGGGATATTTACAAAAAAGGCCTGCCTCAGTGCCAATATGGCTTTACTATTTTATCACTACATGTGCATGGCGCTATAATCGATTCTAANACCTTGTTTGTCTTTCTTTATCTATTGTAACTAAATAGTGTTTTCTCAAGGTCATAGGGGCCCCATGATCCTAATGTGCCCAGGGCCTCAAATAGTTTAAAGACGGCCCTGATTGCGGTTGATTATAATCATGATATCCTAATAATTACTGGCGTTACAGTCGCAACTCTTTGGCCCTGCTATCGCTGTACAGTAATCAATTTTATTCTTGCATCTACTTTATGATTTCGTAATCCAATCTTTTCTCTTAATTCCTTTTTTTTTAAACTCATGATTAAAATTACAAGGCTAAGTATGACATGATGGAGAGGTAAAAGATCCCCACGGGGCCTCTAGACTTCGAACAACCAAATGACTATGAGGGTATGCAGTTATCAAGTCCAGAGCCAGAGTTGAAGGATGTTTTACATGATTCTCTCAGGGGGACTAATTTTGTGTGTGGTGAGATTATATTTCTCCTATAAATAATCAATCAAAATCCTCATTATATAATTTATTTACATTATAAAAAACATTAAAACAGCACTTCATTATAGTTTGTGTATTTATGTACTTCTCGAGATTCAGAGGCTTCACGTCTTGCTTTCGTTTGTATCGTTTGGATCAGTCTCGTTTTCTGGCCCCGCTCCCCATGGTTGTATGGTGGCTTGGCTAAATATATCGAAAACAACTCCTCCTGAGATAAGTATAGCAGCAGTGGTTATGAAGACATTTCGCCAGTTCTCCAAAGTATGCTAAGATGAGAGTTATAAGTCCAAATAAATTTCAAATTTCCCAGCATAATATGTTTTAAAAGGCAACAACTAAATCACATTTAACACTTCTTAATTCAACTTCTTTAAAAGGATAAAAAAAATGTAGGTGAAAACTGGACATTACCAAGTTTTCAGAGCAGCTGGGAGCATTAAATTGCTTTAGTTTTTGTTTGAATAATAAACTAGGTCATCTGTTCTAAAAATAAGTATTATTCAATGAAAAAGCAGACAAGCTAGATTTAGGAGGGAAAATTATTTTTTTGGAAGTGTTTTAGTACCTGGTTTTATACAACTGGGTCCGCTAAATCAGGTATATATTAGAGATGAATTCGGGTTCACTTTTGGAGGTCCATGCCCGAAGATTTTTAATCCGAGCTCACCAGAGGCCATAGAAATACTTACAGCCCGTGTCCGAGATATACGTCGGATAATTTCTTCTCTCCTTAGTATGAGGATAACTGATCTTTAAAAATATACATTAGCGAAAAAAATTTACATAATTATTATTATGCAAAATGTATGTAATATTAAATAAAAAAGGGAAATAAATGTTCTACGTTTTTGCTAAAACGTTCTTTTACAGGCAAGAACTATGATATACTTGGAGGGTCCACCCATGCTCGCCAATCCCCAAAGGGTGCTCACTTCACATCATTCACGATAGACTAAATATTCCTTTTTACTACCAGACTAAATGTAATCTCTCTCTATGACATTTGAAACCATAAGTTCACCACACTTACTACTTAATTTTTTTTTACTTAATAACTGAACCAAGCGTTTGTTTATAAGTAATATAAAAGATTATCAAAATTTTAATCATGAGTCTGAGCCCGCCCAAGAACTTCCTTCAATAAAAGAGCCTGAGCCCGCATATGGCCCGGGCTACGCCTATCTCATCTCTAGTACATATGCCTTAAAATTTAAGAAAAAAAACTTGTTTTCCTAGCTGAAATATCTGTTTATAGCATTACATTAACACAATGATTTTTCTGCGATGAGAAATACATAGTCCAGTTACATTAATGTGACCTCCACCTACTTTCGACGTCAACGTGAAATAACTAATCATAGAAGGCAGGTGGCAGCCCATTACAGTGGAGTGCATATAAAGGACATCCTAGGGCATCGGAAAGCATTTCATGGAAAACTGCTGTAAATGCCGATAAATCCCAAATTCTAATTATACAAAAAAGAATACTGAAAATACTACCCCAATGCGAACCAAAACTGTTCAACATCCAAATTCCAATAGTCAAAAAAGCAAACTACTTCCGTCTCATTATAAATAGCACACTCACCTGGAATGATCATATTAAAAATATAACAGATAAAGCAAATGCAGCAACTACTATAATTCAACCACTCATCTATAATCAGAATCTCTTATTAAAACTCAGAAAATTATTATATACTTCAATGATCCGACCAATACTAACATATGCCTCACTGCCTGGACAACTATACCAGAACATCTAATGAAAAAACTCAATCAATGTCAAAACAAAGAAAAATCACCCGTGGCATATGGTTCATCAGAAACACTAATATCCACAAAGATCTCAAGATTCCGTCTTTATCAGAATACATATACAAACTAAACGTAGATTTCTACTACAAGGCAACAAAATGTAACGCAGTCACCCTCACGTTCGGGCGAATAGACGTGCAACTGACCGTCCAGATGAACCACGGGGCTAGCAAGAGTAAACCTAATTGACTCTCTTCCTGCACGTCTCGCAGCGGTCCGCTCTGTCAAAGGTGGTTATTCTGGCTTTTGACAGGTGGTTACATTAATGTGACTAGACTGTGTGTATAGAGGTTTTAAAATCAAAGAACTAAAGGGTAATTTTGAGTTACACATGCTTGTAGTTTTGAGTAAATTAAGCTCTGTTTCTTATATGCTTCTCATTATGCTTCTTAGCATTGATTCAGGCTTTATGAGTTTATATTATACTGTCAGGGCAATAGAAAAAATAAGGTAAGTGTTGCACGATAGATTTCAAGAAAAGGGGCTTGATAACTATATTTTCTTTTTAACTCAATGCCGTGAACGCTGAAATAGAATTTCAAATAAAATGGCAAATATAGCTGAGGTACAGTAAGGCAACTTCCTAAGATTTTGCTATGACCAAGACTGTAGTTTATAGCCATTTGTACTACCCGATTTTGTGCATCTAACAATGTCCTGGCTTTTTCGACAAAGTCACTAAAGCCGAAAAGAAGACTTTAGACTTGGTTCAAAAGCTGTTCCAAAAATATAGCATAATAGCTAAAAGAGGTGTTATCAGTTGTTAAGCAATTGAAAACTACAGAGTAAAATTTATAGAGAAAAAAAAAATCAAAACATTTCGAATTAAATCTTCAGTTACAAGGATCTGTTGAACGGATCTTAGTAATCTCGCTTCAAATCTCTACAAGCTATAATTTTTGTGTAATTCAATAATATATTTATAATCAGGATTTTTTAAAAATTCTCTCGAGTGAATACTAAGTGTCTCCACTCTTCCCCTACTTAGGGAGTGGTAGAAAGAAGGCGATAAGCTTCAGTTTAAGATGCAATACGGTAAAGTCATATGTCTTTGCAATTTTTAAAGGAGCAGACAATTATCAATGCATGTATATAAACCTATACGTTCTTTATAAACTTGTGCATTCGGAAAAAAAAACAAAATAAACTAACAATGTTATTTTGAAAAAAAAAAAAAAAGACCTGTAGCTTTCGGAACAAAACTAATTTCAGATTTAAAATCCCCCCACCTGAATAAGGTAAGATCAAGTATTTGGGAAAATACAAGAAAAATTTGTTCCTGAGTGTTGTTAAATGAATAACCCCCAAAAATAGTAGCAGAAAGATGTACCTTATTACATAAGAACTTCGTTTGCTTCAAAGAATATATAAATATGAAAAGTCTACACGTTTCGAGCCCTCATAAATGGTCCCTCTTGTTCAGGGCTAGCTAAGACGTGAATGGAGAAAAGAGATTTTCAACAGAAAACGTCAACGAAAGTAATGGAAAATAATTAAAAGTGAAGATACAAAACAAGAAAAAAATAACGCGGTAGCTGAGAATGAAACAGAAACGTTTTCTGTTTCTTTGGTTTGCCTCATTCAATGTCTGGCGAGTCTTAAGAATGAGTGACTATTTTTGAGCGCTCGAAACATGTTGACTGAAGTAATGAAGTTTATATAATATCAACTGTATAGCACATTTAGTTGTTTGGAAGAAGAGAAGGAGTATAAAATAGAATAATCACCCCAGTTTTTGTAATCCATCCAGCGAATGCGGGGGCCAAGAATCCAGCTGAGTTTGCGAATGTACCGGTAAGAGCCATTATGATACCTTAGAAAAGGTAATAGAAACGAAATATGAGACTTAATAGGTTGGAATAGTTTGAAGCATCTTTCACTCGCTTCGAGGATACATTTCTCAATAATAATAATAATAATAATGAAGAGATAATTGAAATTTAATTGTAGATAAGAAATAATTTTATAAATGTTCCTGGTCTAAGCGTTCGATCTTTTTAGGGCTGCCAACTACTACTCTTTTTGCAAAATATTTTAACGAATAGTAGACAATCAGAAACGAAAGCTTTCAGAATTCAGGTTAATTTTCCCAACATTTTATCCCTTTCACGAAGATGAGACACTGGTGTCCCTTTCATATATTTCTCATGATACTTTAATTAAAAATAAAAATATATTTTAGTATCCTTTAATTATAAAATACTGTCCAATAGTTATTAAAAAATATGTTTTATCGGTATATATATATATATATATATACTGATGGAACTAATTCGCATTTGCGTTACATGGAAAAGAAAACCTCCAACCGACAGCTTGACTGTAAGGGGACTTTAACCCATGATCCGTCTACCACTGAGGATAATTTTACGTCAGCACTGTGGTCGGTGCAAGACGAACGCGGAGTTCGTATCGACCAGCCATCACTGGGATTCGAATTCAGCTCACCTCAATGGAAGGCGAACGTTGGATCCCCTTAGCCATCACGGCTCCAGAATTAGTTTTGTACTAAAATAGAAAAAAAAAAAAAAATTTGAAAAATGTTTTTTCCCCCCCCATTCATATTAACTCTTTGCCTTCCAACGTCACTCTATTCGTCATCAATAGCCATCACTCTAAAATTAAGAACATTAATATCTTAATAATAAGCAACTTCATTATTTTAAGAATTTTAAAAATATATAAAAATACTGTATTATCTAACTTCAATAATTTAGTGTCTATGTTATTCAAGCAGCATTTTAAAGTACTCGGAGGGCAAAGGGTTAGAAATTCACCAATAATTGATTTTTAAACAAAAAAAAAATATTATTTCTCTTAGATTTTAAATAACTGCAAATAAGTGCAAAGTTGAAAAATAATCATTTGGAGGAAAGCAATCAGTCCATACTTGCCAAAGAACACACATCTATCCTTATTTCATATATAACCATAAGTTATTAAAATTCTAAATACTATATTTTCTACTTATTTTGCATTAAATTAATACAAAAAAAGGGGAAAAAAGTATGAGAAACGTGATTAATGAAAATTCTGCGTCAAAAGTTTAAAAGACTCGCCATGAAAGAACTTGTTTATTACTTTACTAAAATTACATACATTTTCTAGCCTGTGTGCTCAATTTTAGGCTTACAAATCTTTTCCAAATAGAAGGACAAGCCGGGATAGTCTGGTAGGTAGGGCACTGGGCCCATGTCCAAGAGATCGTCGGTTTGATTCCCGCCGAACCGAAGACTCCTCGTGTAGTAAAATGGTGGCTGATGCACGTTAAATCTGTCGAGTCTCGATGTCCTCCATGTTCCCATAACAAATCATACCTCTGGGAGTACTGATCCAGGAATTCTCTTGTATTCTGTATTGGGTTCTAAATTACAAGGCTACGGAGTTGAACATTGGTAGTCGTAAACTCGAAATTGGGTCGCCTGTTCAACGACGGTTGTAAAATAAAGTAGAAGGACAGATAGAAAAATTCTGAGAAGGTTACAGTGGGATTCAAGCCCGCCACATCCACGCTTCGCGCAGAGTTTGGCGGGCGATATCGCTCACCCAGGGAGGCCCCCTTGAAAGAACTGGAAGAATGTGATTCCCTATATGAGCGTTTGAACCATTTGCATGTAGTGGAGTGGAAAATAACTTTAAATCAAATTTACCTAGTGAAGAATCATAGATTGAAACATAAAATTTGCTACCACTGGAAATTTTTTTTTCACAAAGCGTAAAAAGTTGAAAACCTGCATAATTAATATAATTAACTGATTCTTTTACATGTGACGATCAAAATACTAAATTTAATTTAAATATCAAATTATTAAAAGGAAATATATAAATGTTACTACCATTTTAAACAAAAATATAAAATACTACATAGAATCCGTAGAAGTTTCTGCTGTGCATAATATCGTTCAAATTTGCACAAAACCTTAAAATAGTGCTAAGTCGAGTCCCATCGCAGCAATTAAATTAAATAATTTTATTATACTGAAATTACAGATCGAAGTGAACGGAAGTGAACGGAAGCGTGGTTCAATTTAACACTTTATTAAGATTGTTGCGTATTATGACTCAAGGTACTGATATCGTGGTTAAACCACATTAAATACCGATATCATGGTTGCACGACATCAAGTACAGATATTATGGATATCAACGCAAACCTTTCAAGAAAACATTAACATTTTGAGAGAAGTAGTTTTGGAGCATTTCTAACAGTACATATAATTCTTTCTCTTATCTTTAATGAAAATATTGTAAACGATTACACTTTCCGGTCTCATTGCTAACACTAATAAAATATTTTTGAGATACTACGACTTCAGACTAGGGATGTCAGTTACTTCGCGTTTAACAAAAGAAAGTGGAGGAGAATAAGAAGCTAAAACTTGCAGACACTAGCATAGTTTAACCATCAATTATTAGACTGACCAATGCACAGAGATTGATCAAAAAAACTTCTATTCTACAAAATACCACGATACACTTGGTAGGGAGTAGGGTTCATGTTCAAAAGGTCGCGAGTTCGATCCCAGCCAGCCGAAGACTCCCTGTGTACAAAATGGAAGACTGCTGTAAGTTAAATCTGCCAGGGTCACAAACTCCCTTAACAAATCAATACCTGTAGGGCTTTGATTCAGATCAAAATTACGATCAGAGGATGTGTGAAAGGTGCGTGAATGTGTTTCCCTATAAAACGGGCAGTGACGCATGTCTGTGGCTGAAAGTCGTATTCTTAGCCGTAGAAAAACAAGAAACGCACTCTCTGCCTTAGAAGTTTAATTCCCTTAATCCTCACGCCGCTCGCAGATAAGTTCTACAGTCTTGCTGATATTGGCAAGTAGCATTAGTAACAAAAACAACAACACTTCGACTCTAACTTCGTGTGAACCATTTTTCTTTCAGCAATAAATGTTTCGAAAGATTTTGAATGGTAAAAGTGTTGGCCCAATTTTGAAGATCCGGTTTGAAGGTTTAAGAATATTGCAGGTGTTATGTTCTAGTTAAGAACATTGGTATTTTGAAGGCTGTTTCAAAAGTACTTACCGGCGTATTTAGGTGCCATGTCCATGTTGGTTATGAGGTAACCAGAGTACTTGAAGGTGCTGAACGCGTTTGCAAGAGTGAACAGAGCAATGATGGCTGCTGGCCTGCAACCTACAGCTGGAATCAACAGCAAACATGCAGCAGGAACAAAGAAAGCTGTCAAAAAAGTCAAATATTTCGGTTCAAAATATTTTCCCCAAGTAGTCAACTCGAATTAGTCCAACACCTCCTAGAAAGAACAGGCCTCAGCACGGGTTACCATAAATATCCCTTAGTAGTCCAAACGTAATGACATATTTTGTATTTTCAACCACTGCGCAGCTTAGTACCCCTAACGTAATGACATCTTTCTTATTTTTCGTCTACTGCGCAGTTAACTTCATCACATCGGACTACTAAATTGATCCGTGCTGAGGCCTTTCTACTTCTAGGAGGTGTTGATTAGTCCCGCAGTGGACTGATCGTTAAAACACGGTTCCCATTAGAACACCGAAGTCAAGCATCACTGACTGCGGTTAGTGTGCGAGTGGGTGACCACTTGGATCAGTCTACGAAGGGACCGAGGGTGTGCCGTATTGGTCTTCGTTAAACTGTTATACAGTAAAGCGCTTGACTTCGAGCGCCGATCGTCGGGCTACAGAAGCGAGGGTGCCATCCCCTCTGCAGAGGACGAAAATTGTGACGGCATGTCTTCGGATCATTCTCAGGCCATTGTGCAGCTCTAGTGCGGCATAAAAAAACAACAACAACTCGAATTATGAAGGACTGGTACCAACTCATCATTTTCAACGTCGTTAAACGACTCGTTTTCCTTCCAATGTCTGATGCAATGGATATGTGCTTATAAAATTGCTTTAGTTTTAGTACTTGCCAAACAAAAAAATTAAAATCTAATTTTCATGTCCACAATTATTTTTATTAATATTTAACATCGTTCTTGATTTGTGGGCCCTATCGAAATTTCGAGCACTTTCCGAACAATCTAGAGCAAGAAAATCTCTATTGGATCCCGGTGTCAAATTACAATTCACTTTTTAATTATTTTCTGACAAGCAGAATGACAGCTACAGCAGATTTCTGACAGCTATTTTCTGACAGCTACAAGCAGAATTATCGCCAAAGAGAGTTTGTCGTCTATTATAATTCCGGCCACTTTTGACTCACTTGAGTGTTCAAAACAGAGCTCTGTCTTGTGGAGCTCTGTGATGAATAACAATTCTAGCTTCAATCTGTTTCTGGCAGCCATTAAACATAATTTATTATGATTTTATTGCTAAAAAGGAATTTATCACCAATCATAATTCCGTTAACTTTTCGATTAGGTAAGAGGATCAAATTTCCTTGGAGCTCTATGTGCTAATTTATAGTTTCAATTCTTTCTAGTCCGCTACATGCGGAATTTATAGTCATTCGAACAGTTTGCGACTAGCTAAAGTGCACAAATTGCAAGTGGAGCTCTTTGCCTGATGTCAATGCAAATTATTATCGTCTCTTAAAACAAGCAAATTTTCCTTCCGTTTTATCACCAATTGACATTTTCAGCTTTCCAGCTTTTATGATATTTTAATTCTGAAGTAAAAGCTAAGACTAAGAAATCGATACCAATTTTTAATTTTTTCCAGCTTTGCACGTTCCAAGGATTTTTTTCTTCCTCCTCAAAACATGATAAAATGAAATGGTTTTACTAAGGCAGGCCACACACTGAGCAAGCAAGCCATAAGAAAGAGGCATACAGGTAGCGAATTCCTATACTTTTGCATTAGGACGCGCAGAGGTGATGTGTGCATGGTAATGCAAAAGTATGGTTGTTGTTGTTGTTGTTAATTTACGTCACACTAGAGCTGCACAATGGGCTATTGGCGACGGCAAAAGTATGGAAATCTGCTTTTCGTATGCCTTTTACTTTTCGCTCGTTCTCTCAGTGTGTGGACTGCCTGACAGTTTTTCCTCTTTTGTGTACACTGAGGGAGATTTTTTTGTGCGTGACGGTAAGTCAATAATATCTTACCAATCGACGACATAATTTTTCTTATAGTTGTTATATGGAATTGCTTCTTTCTCAACAAGTCTGCAATAATACTGGCAAGAGTGGCTACTAGAGCTCCAACTATGAATGGCAGTGATGATATTAGCCCATTCTGTAGAAAGAAAAGATTTTACGAACGAGTTAATCGAGCATTAAAAAAAACAATGTTTTATATGAGTGTAAATCTGAAATTTGTTTTGTGAGAAGTAGCAAAATTAAAGATTTTTAGATCTTTTAATTCGCAAAAAAGGCAATCAATTTATTCCAACTTTCTTTTGTTATCGTTATTATTTTTAGGGTTATAATTTGTTACAGGAAAAAGAAAATACAAAAATTACGATAAGTTCCACTGCCTATTTTTAGGCAATGAATATCGGCTCATCAGAGTAAAAATGTGTTACAATTTTCAAGTTAAGTCGCGTAACAGTAAACAAAATACAGTTAAGTATTGTAAAGTATACTGCAAAATGTAACTAAATTGATTTTATTTAATTTATGATTGATTGAAACTCTTCAAATGAAGATAAAACAAAGGAAAATTATAGACATATGAAGAAAGGGGGGGGGGGAATAATAATTAAAAAAAATAACAAACAACTGATTAAAAAAAAAAAAGAGATGAATTTTTTTTTAAAAAAAAAAACCGGAGAAAAAAGATACCATCTTTTCATCAGCCCACACGATTATATCCGCAAAAGAGTGCTTACTAATATAATTGATGATTATATATATATATATACTCTCTGCCTTAANTATATATATATATATATATATATATATATATATATATATATATATATATATATATATATATATATATATATATATATATATATATATATATATATATATATATATATATATATATATATATATATATATATAAATATTTTGCATATTTTTATTACTACAAAACTGCAATGGAATCAAGAAAATCTAGTTCAATTTTTTTGGAAGTGTTTTTTACGAAGCACTTAAAAGTCACATATTTAAATTTTTCTTTCAGCCTTTGAGGATAAGAAAAATTGGGAACCAAATTTTATCTAAGAAGAGCCATAACTATTGTAGTTATCGTGTACAGTGCGCAAAAAAGAACAAATGAGCGGATTAATATACTAATACAGAGATGCCAACTGCTCCGGACAAGCCAAAGTAATTCAAAAGACGGTAAATAACTACAAAGTAAATTTAGCAAATATTTGACTGTTTTTGCTTGTTTTTTAAAAGGTAAAGCAGGTCTTCAGTACTACAAATTGGTGAATTATATAAACCTAGGAATTATTTAGAAATAGTGGTGGATAAAAATCAACTAAATTGANGGAACCAAATTTTATCTAAGAAGAGCCATAACTATTGTAGTTATCGTGTACAGTGCGTAAAAAAGAACATTCTGAATAAATTTCGATCAAATGAGCGGATTAATATATACTAATTAATAGTCAATCTTAAAGGTTCGAGGGGTTTCTTGAATTATGCTTATTAGTTTCACATACACATTCCTCTTCTCTCCGAATTGGAGCTTCTATCATAGCTCTCCATTTAACTCTATCCATGGCCAGATGTTTCGCCTCCCTCCATGTTTATCAAACTAATGTCAATTAGCTTTGAATGAGGGGTAAATATTTTCTAGTGGTAGTATTTTAATGTATTATTCTTGGTTCAGTGGGCCGGGATAGCCTGATTGGCAGGGTGCTGGACTCACGTTTATGATAACGGAAGTTCGAATCCAGCCGGCCGAAGACATCCAGTGTTATAACTGGTAACTGGCGTACGTCAACTTTTTCGGGTCACTAAGTCCTCCATGTTTCCATAGAAAATCAATGCCACTGGGGGTTTTGAGTTGGAGATGAATTCAGGTCAAAATTATTATCTGAGGACGAATGAACGGATGTATGAATGGGTCCGCTCCATAAACGGATATGATGTATGGGTGTGACGAAGTCGAATTAATGGCTTTAGATGCCCCCTCTGCCTTAGCCCTTTTGCGCCGACTGTCACAAATACGTGCCAGCATAAAGCCGTATAAATCAGGGTGAAAAGATAAAACTGATAACCAAAGTAGTTCTTTAGCAGTATATTTGTGGGCGGAGTTATAAGTGTTTGATTTATTTAATTCACCATTACTTTAGTTCAAAATAATATTATTTAGTTATACTTTGAACTAACATCAATAATATATATGATTAAACTAACAATAATTAGAGTAAAAGCAAAGTAAGTGTGTCAAATTAGCAACACCTACATTTAAGTTACCGTTTTTTATTTATTTACATCCTGATTCTGATTTTGTACGAATGCTTTTATGAATCCCCCGTACCCAAGGGGTTAATAACCGACTACAATAACAACAACATTCTTGGTTCAGTAATTTAATCTATGGGATTTTTACTCACCACTACTAAGTAATTCGAATGCTTATATAAAATGGCACATCATTACAGTTACGCTATGGAATTAAGCTACCATTATACTCGTTCCCAAACCTCTTAAAGATCCAGTTATGCTCTATAATCACAGATCTATTTGCTTATTACCAACACTTAGTAAAATATTTGAAACCTCCATTTAAAACAGATTTAAATCCCACCCACACATGCTACCCGATAAACAATATGGTTTTGGATGGGGGCTCGACAACAACAACGAATTCTAGAGTTCATTGGACAGAAGCTTAGAAATAAACAAATTTTGGCCTTCCTGATGTTAGATGTTACTTAAGTCTTTGACCGAGGCTGGCATGGTGGTCTTATCAATAAATTAAAAAACTTAAATATTCCAACTGACTTAATTTTTCTCATAAACTACTTAAAAAACAGATATTTTAAAAGTAAAATAAACGATATTCTCTCATCCAATAGAATAATAAGAGTTATTCCAGGGTAGTATTCTCCGCCTAATATTATAAATAATTTACACTTACGATTTTCTTATCGATGGCGATGATTATAACAGCCTTACTGCTTAGTTTGCAACAGGGGTGGGTTACTGTCAAATCTAGATCTGTTACAAACGCCATTCATAAACTATAGACAAAAATACATGATTTTGAAATCTGGTGTTCTAACTGTTCGAAATTAATGCCCAAACCTTTTCATTTATTTCCACTGGCAGAGAACTTGGCATAAAGGGGAAAAAAGACATGGACCAATCCTATAAATACTTATGCATCCCTCGTCTGATGCAATTACAGTAACGTAAATGCTAAAAAACTTAATGTCTTCCTAAATAAATTACAAAGAAAAATTTGGGGATTCCCATATTTTATTCGAAACAAAGATATACACACAGATTTTAAATTAAAGATCCTCTCTGAAACTTTAACATGTTGAATGCCATGAGGGGGGGGGGGTCACCGATGACCGGTACTGAGTTTATTCGTCATTCATTAATTTCCTCTTATTTAAGGCTCCTATACTATCAGAGCTGACCTATCAAGCAATATTGGAGCAATCAAGTGCGGAAGTTAATGTTATGTTAGTATTAGTTATGTTATTACAGAGATGCCAACTGCTCTGGACACTCCAAAATAATTTAAAAAAGGGTAAATAACTACAAAGTAAATTTTGCAAATAGTTGACAATATTTGCTTGCATTTTAAAGTGTAACGCATGTAATAAGTACTATAAAGTGGTGAATTTTATAAGCCTACGCATTGTTTAAAAATAGTGGTGGATTAAAATCTACTAAATCGAACTTATTAAACCAAGAATTACAATTAATAAACTACCACTTGAAAATATTTATTCGCTGTGCCTATGTTAACTCCTACAATAAATGATAATTCGGCCTGTCTTATTCACGGGCTCTACTCTTATCGTATAACATTACCAGCTTAATTTCCAGCTAGTAATTCATGTCATTAAAAAATGAATGAAACGCTACATGTTACGTATATAAGAAATTTAAAAATTATATATAAAATTTTTTTTCCCAAAGAGTGGTAGTTTAATTTTATCAAAAATATTTCAAATGAAGTTATAACTTTCTTGATAAAACTCGCAAATAAGGAAACCTAATGCAGATGAAAGCGAGCATAATTTGCTCAATGGTTTCAGTTTAGCACGCTGATTGCCACGAGTGTCACCAGTGACCGGCGAAGCCAAGATTATTAGAAACAGAGTAAATTTTTAATTTTTTGGAAACATTATTATCGTTACTAAAATGGTTTGAAGAAATGAATGCGATACACACAAAAATAGTTTTATTTATGTACACAGAGATGCCAACTTGGTCGGGAGAGCGAATATATATTTTAAAGTGGTAATTTATTAATTGTGATTCTCGGTTTAATAAATTCAATTTAGTAGATTTTTGGACACGGCTCTTTCTAAACAATTCGTAGGCTTACATAATTCACCACTTTTTTTCTGATATGTCATGCTAAACCTTTTAAAAAACTAACGAAATCTGTCTAATAAATGCCAATTTAGTTAGTAGTTATTTACCGTTTGGCCAGACGGGCAAGCGATGTAAAATTAGCGTGGCATTCAACTTGTAAATAACACTTAGCACAAAATTCTATAAAAAAGCACAAAAATGCTGAGCCGCAAACTGCGACAATATTTTTAAAGCAGAAATGTTAATTGCAGATTATAATATCAGATCTTAGATTAGATCAGATATAAATCAATTTATCCTTAACCTTTTTTGGTACTTATAAATTTAAATTATAACACTTCATCGATTGGAGTTGCAGTTATTGATCTAACAGTTCTTAATTCTTATATTTTATTGGTGATGCGATTCAGCCAATGCAGCAAATAGTTCAAAATTATGAAAATTACTTCATGACTTCTCAAATCAAGATGAAAAGGTAAAAGGCTCCTTCGGGGCCTAAAGGCTTTGAGCAATAATATGACTGTGACTACAATTATCCTTTGTTGAGCCTTTTAAAAAGTTTGCAAAATTAACCGAAATTGCGCAAATGTTAGTTTTAGCTCGTTACCGTTGTTTTAAAATATATAGTGTCGAATTCAGAGCAGTTGGCATTTTTACTTTCTTATTGCTTTCAATTCACTTATAACTGCAGGGATGCTAACTTTCTCCGCTTTGCAACAAATAACTTTCTAGTGGTGACGAAATATAAGTTATTTTCAGTTCAATAATTTTTATTTTAGTAAATTTTGTCACATTACACAACAAAAAATCGAAGTATCATATAAAACGCAACTTTATTTCATTTAATTCGTGGTTTCTCTTCTAGAGATTTGGCGTAACTATCCTTATTCTTCGAGTTTTACAATTTAAATCGCTGCCAATTTATTAAAGAAGTGGAGGAGTTTGCGGAGGAGAAGTGGAGGAGTTTGCAAGGAAAATTTCTGAGAAACCTCCAAATAAATTATCGTATTTCATTAATATATCGTATTTTATTAATATATCGTATTTTATATATTTGAAAGTGATTTTTTATTAAAAAAAATCATTGTTCTCTTAATTTTTCAAAATTTATTTTAAAAAAATAATTGGGGTCCCCAGGCTATGGCTTAGTTTTGCTTAATGGGTAAATCAGCTGTGGGTGTGTGTATGAATAGGTCCAGCTTATAAGCAAGTGTGACGCATAGGTGTGACGTATAGGTGAAGTCGAATTAATGGATATAGATGGCTCCACTGGAAAACAAGAACAAAAGCAATCCTTCCACCTTAATGACCTTAACACGTTGAGCGCCGCGTCAGCCATCGGTGGCTGACACTGGACTTTCCCTTTAGGTCGCGCCAACCACCGGTGGCAGACACTGAAATTACATTTAGGCTGCGTCAACCACCGGTGGCTGACACTGACCTTTCACATAGGCCGCGAAAAACAGCTGGCTGATAGCGTATAACATAATATAGAACTATAAAATTTACCCTCTTTTATGGAATTGCAGAAAATTTATTCAATATTTACTTGTAATTCTTGGTTTAATAAATTCAATTTACCAGGTTTTTATCCACCACTACTTTTAAACAATTCGTAGGCTTATACAATTCACCACTTTTTTTCAGATATGTCATGCTAAGCCTCTCTAATAATTGCAAATTTAGTTTGTAGTTAATTACAGTTTGGCCTGACGGGCAAACCATGTAAAATAAGCGTGGCGTTAAACGACAGTAGAATCTATTGCATACCTGCCATTATCATTTTCCCCAGTGGTATTAAAATGGAATTAAAACTTCAATTTTAAGCAAACAAATACGTTGTATTTGAGAAAACTTAAGTTAACAACCATGATAGTAACGCTTATTAATATATGTGATTAATTTTTGTAAGAATAGTGGTGATCAAAATCATCTAAAAATTAAGTTTATAAAAGAAAAAATAGTATATACTTACTACCACTTTAAATATGAAAAT